ATAAAGAAATATATATGCTACCCAATTACTACGAATTTAGGTTCTTTAATAATTGCTCGTGTTTTCATTTATTATTTACTTAACAAATGAGAAGGGATTGAAATGAATTGAAATGGATTCAGATTTTCAAAAATATAATTGATTCACGAATATTAAAACAAATGCTTTTCAATCCTGAATGCATTTTTATTCATTTATAGGAATTACATGGAGCATATCTCTATGCTTTTCAATCTAAAAATAATATTAACTTTTTCTGTGCATAACACACACATTGTGAATACTATTCAATTCAAAATTTTGAACAGGAAATGCAGTTTTTAATCCAATTGCATCCAATTGAATCTAATTGGATCCAATTGAATCCAATTAAACTCCAAAAAAAGTATATTCACTATTTAATACGCACGATAGAAAAAAATTTCAATTCATTTTAATCCATTCTTGTTTGCTAGGTAATTTTCTTTTTCTCTCTCTGCAAGAGAGAGAATATATACCAATTACAGATAAAACTGTAATTGGTCTATTTTATAATATCCAATCTATTTTATAATATCTATTTATTTCAAAAGAACAATTCCATGCAAAAACCAAATCTATCTATAGACTATAATACTCCATAATAGTTCAAATACTCCGATCAATTTGAAATTAGAGCGACATTGATAGTCAGTAAATCTTATATACACAGTTTTAAGATAAGTCAATTACAGAGCCGTATTAGCATTTTAAAACATTACTTAAGACAATTTTAAGATAAGAACAGGCTATGAATGCTGATCCTAGTCTTTCCTAAACAAAAACCTTTTCAAGTTCTACGTCAATTTAAATAGTTCGAACTTTAAAATATATATCTCTCTCTCTCTCTCTCTCTCTCTCTTTCGCTCCCTCTCTTTTAAATGTCATACATCACACATGTCACATATGTAGTCATATGAACAGACCTTCATTATCGATACTCGACGTCTCGACGTCGATTTTTTGGTATCGAGCTGCAGAGAATCGAAATATCGATAAGCCATCGTCCAGCAACTCCGGCAAGCTCGAACTGGCTCGAACTTCGAAGCTTTGGGGCATCATGCCATGTTCTCGCGCATCGTCGCACGTGTAAGTGTGGGCTGTCGCCTTGTGAGTCAGCAAAAAGAAAAGGGAGTTGACGATAATCTGTTGTCGAGGTTGTTACGAGCGAGTAGCGTCGGAAACGGTGCGATCCAGGACGCGCGTTACTGTGGGAAAACGTGTCAGGTTGCCGTCAGCGAGCCGTGCGGAGCGATGTCGGGCGACGAGAAGCCGTTTCGCCGTCTGCCGTTGTGCGTGCGTCCCTATCATTACGATATCTCGTTGACGCCGCATATCACCACCTTCACCTTCAACGGCACGGAGAAAGTGCATCTCAATGTGAGTTCTGTTACCTACTATCATTCTTCTCTCGCTGCCACTCTCCGTCCTTCTCTTCAGTGAAAAATAGAGAGTCGAAGATGAGAGATAGAGAACAAAGCGGCCGCTAACCATATGGGAAACATAACCAAGAAACGCCCCGCCCCTGATCCCTTCCCCGCCGCCAGTTTCTGTTTAAGTAGCATTTAGATTTGAATCTGATTGGCAAACATTAAGGCAGACTGCCTTATCTTCTAATTGCCGGCAATCGTGATTTTAATCCCTTGATTTGCTCATTAATTTCGCAGTGACGCGAATTCTAATTGCACTTACGAATGTTATCTATTATTTTTCCTCCCGTAATCATATTTCATGCTTATCTTTGTGACATACATGACGATTGCGAAAATTCTCTCTTATCTGTTTTTTTTCCTTTTTTCTTTCGGATTATAGGTGGAAACTCCTACGGATACCATTGTATTGAATTGTTTGGAAATCAATATAAAGCGCGCGAGTTTTTATGGAAATGATGGCAAGACCATTGTGCCCGAGAAAATTGTATTATCAGGATTGGAGGAGACAGCCACATTGGTGTTTCCTGAAGCTCTGCCATCTGGGAAAAGTGGATACCTGAACATAGAATTCATGGGAGAGATCAATGACAAGATGAAAGGTTTTTATAGAAGCAAATATAGTGGGTAAGAATACAACTGATAACTTTGAATATATAAAAAAAAATTATCAAACTGATCTCTGTTCTAATCAGCTGTCTAATTAGAAAAAGAACTTTTTTAATAATATATTTCAATTACTGTTTGTTAATTTTAGCTCCTGAAAATTATATAACATATGGATAAATGAAAACAGAATGTTTAAAGTATGTATTTATATGTATCTTTCAAAGGCAAGATGGTAACTGCGCTGTAACCTATTTGTGTCCTACATCAGCACGCAAGTTTTTTCCATGTTGGGATGAACCATCTTTTAAAGCAACCTTTGATATACATCTTACAATTCCATCTCAGCCATATCTCATTGGGTTATCGAATATGGTGAGCATCCTTGATGTAACGTAGAATTTTTTATGATTTCAGGGAGGACGGTACCGTTGAATATGCGGCGGTTACTCAGTTTGAGCCGACAGATGCTAGACGTTGCTTCCCATGTTGGGACGAGCCAGCGCTGAAAGCAACATTTGACATTACGCTAAAAGTACCAATCGGTCTTACAGCACTTTCCAATATGGTAAGCAACGCTGGGCATCTGCAATATTATTTGCTTTTCTTTTTCTTTTGCTTCCTATCTTGTAATTTATATTTAAGGTAGCTGTATGTACTTTTTTTTTATGCTTTTTTCTGTATTTGATATTTGTATACATTATCTGATGCTTAAAATTAATATTTTATGTGTTGATTATTAATCTGTTAACTATTTCTTATTGTATATACCATTCATAGTCGGTTCTTTCATTTAAAATCACGTTTTAAGATCAGATTAGAAATTGATATTGAAAATAGATTTGAATTTAACTAACAGAAGAAAGAACTAATTCCAAGTTTGGTAAACTTTGCTCTGCTCTGATTTTAAGACATTGGTACAATCTTAAGCTCGATACAATCATAAGCTATTTACAAGGCTAATGTTAAAGCCAATGACAAAGCCAATATGAAAACTATCAAGACTATGACATAAAAAATTATCAAGGCTATGACATAAATATAAACAATGAGACAAGTAGTAAGTGAATCAACATTTTGGATTTTTTTTATTATCTATGTTATTGCCTTATATTCGCTGATTCTCTTACTACTGATATTTTGCTGTATTTAATTTTAACATCTTAAAACATTACTTAAGTTTTGTAATGATAAAACGGACTATAAATACCGATCTTACTATATATATATATATATATAT